TAATCATGAGAAATAACATTATGTTCAAGGGTGTATTTTGAGTATTTACATTTGTTTGTATTGGGGGGAAGAAGGGGGGGAAGTATTTCCTATGTCGTTAATGAAGAGTGAGAATAAAAGAGGTGCTAAATTGCTTCCTTGAGGGGCACCACTGTTTGCAATAAATTGAAACGACTTGTGACGCCTATAAATCTATGAATAGGATACGTTCAGTTAAGTATGAGCGGAAAAAACGGATTTCCACCATACGAAGAAAACCACAACAAAACAGTAGGTAACTCTGTCGATTTTGATAAAACTAAAACTTGTCGAAACTAAAACTAGTTTTTTTGTTTCTGTTTTTGAAAACGAAACTAGTCGCAAGCGTGGAAAGTTTCGGTGGAAATCCGTCTTTAGAATGGCTGATTGAAACTTTAATTTAAAACTCACTAAATGTATTTGTACCAATATGTCAAAATAAACAGGAAATAAACAACTGGAGTGATTACAAAAAATATCGTTTTTCCAACAAATTATATAGATAATTCGACCGTGAGCTATTTTCATCCTAGTAATGGTATTAGGTACATTCAGCTTGTGAACAAATAATAAACTTCACAATAACAGTCTGAATCTCTCAGTTCTTATCAGATTTCCTGATCTTGTAGGATATTCATGTTGTTACGATTGTAAAATGTATTTTGATTTATTTTTATGAATTTCAATCAATGTTTCATATACATAGGCTGTAGGAAGCGGCATAATTTTGAGATGGATAAAAAGTGGGCGACAATGATCTTTAAAGCTCACATGGTAGAGTAACTTTCAATTTGGGCTCATGTATTTTGACTAGAGTGTAAAAGTTTCTTAACGTGGTTCTCAACTTGACTAATAGGTTCATAATAAATGTCGAGATTTTCACAGAATTGATTGTAAAGTTTGCTCATTGCAACTGGTGACTTGAATGATGTTTGTTCCAGAATTTGTTAGATAAAAAGTCAGTTCCCTTCTAGAATTCATTCGTGGAACATGACAGTTGAAGTGGAAGAGTAGTTCGGGGCAGTCAATCAGATTATTCACTAGTTTCTAAATGAAAATTATAGAGTAGTAGGTTCTTCGGTTTTGAAGGGATTAAATTTATTCAGTAGTATTCTGTTGTCGATGCCTTGTTCAGGGTAAACTCCTTCTAGCTTGTAAGTAATATATTTCATGAAGCCTTTTTGCATAGACTCCATTTTGTTTATGTGGACATTGTATATGGGTGACCATATAAGGGAGGCATATTCCAGCCGAGATTTGACGTATGCATTGAAGAGAGTTGAAAAACTGTCTCTGCTACGAAAGTTCGTACAGTTACGATAGATGAGCCCTAGCATCCGTTTGGCTGACACAAGATCCCTTTAATGAGTGCTTATTTGAAGAGGTGTGTTATTTATGCAGTAATCATGAGAAATAACATTATGTTTAAATGTGTAGATACTCAGTGTAAATGACAAGAAAATTGAGTCGAGCAAGATTTCTATTGAATTTTTGTTAAGCCATTATTAACTTCTCAAAATTACATTGTAGTATCTCAAACAGTCTTAAGACAGTTACCAACCAAAATGGTTTTGAAAATCATGNCAAAACCTCTCCTCAATTTATATTATGCATATATACATAGTAGGCTCTGAACAAAAATTCCTTCGCTACATTAGTCACGAATTAAATTTTCCAATTACGAATAGCGATTACAGTCCGATTATGCGCCAATACAATATTATGCCTATGAAGTATAGAAAAACTGTTACGGATCTTGCACAAGGACAAATGCTGCTCAAAATTATAGAATGCTTAAAACCTTTAACGAAATTTGCAATGATATTCAATATTTTGAAATCTCTTTAGACTGTTTCAAACGCAGGATGACAAAAATTTTTATTGATTGATAAGTAGTGATCGTTTCTGTAGTCTCTGTCACTCTTATAAGAATTATGTTATTCTTCGATTGTCCAATGTAATTTACAAAAAATTAAAATTCACATTATTTTTTCTCAAAGCCCACTTGAACTGAAATTATAAAGTGGGTTCTCTGTTGGATGTGTTGATCTGTATGTAACCCCTATATTGGCAAATAAATGAATAAATAAACCCTCTTTTTATTGTATATCAACGACTGTGCGGTGAGGTCACAAAAAAGTAGCAGGGAGCCAAGTCTGGTGAATACGGTGGCTGACATCCTCAGCAACTTCTCTAATAGGGATTCGACGATTCTCCATAAGAATTTTCGTCACTTTCCTAACCTTTTCATCTGTTGTTGATGTGCTGCGGCGTGATATTTTAAAAATATTTAAATAATTCGTATGTGATCCGTAGTTCAGTCACAAAAATCTGAAAAGAATTCATGGTTAAGACTATTTGATGTAGATAATGGTCAGCTACGCAAAATCAAGTCACATTTTCTTTGTTTAGAAACTTCACATATCATAACTCATAAATCATACTAAAATTAAAAAACCTCCAATTTCAGATAGTGGAATATTCGAAATGGGACAATAAAAATTAAAAATAGTATCCATTTTAGTTCCATGCACACTGTGAGGGGACGGCACAGGACGGAAACATGACGTGAAGTTTCGTTTCTGTTTCTATAGTTTCTTATGGGGGGGGTCTAAAAGTCTACGCACACTGCGACAGGACGGCACAGGATGGGAACATGCCAGGACAAGAACTTGCCGTAAAGTTTCGTTTCTCTTTCTATAGTTTCTTATAGGTGGGCTTGTGCCTTTCCTTTGCTAGCCTTGAAGTCTACGTACACTGCAGCGACAGGGCGGGAACATGACGGGACTTGGCCTTCGAGCGAGGACAGCACTGCATTGGCCTGGTCCGTCCTGTTCCTGTCCTGGCATGTACCTATTCGTTTTCCCACCATAAGACAAAAGAGAAACGAAAACTCACGTCATGTTCCCGTCCTGTCGCCTTGCATTGAAGGAAAATATTCCGTTACTTTCGATAGATAACGAACTATGACTACTCACTTAATATCAAAAAAGTATCGATACTTCTCATATCAACTTCCACAAATGATCAATAGTTTTTCTTAATGATTTTTATTTATCAGCGGAATGAATAATTAAGAATAAAAATGTGTTCCCAAAGTACTTTAAATTAGTAAATTTGTTATTAGTAAGTGAGTGAAAGAATAATTCTCATTGACCTTATTAAGTGATGCGACCCCATGGTTGCCAGCTGCGGTAAAATAATGACATTCGACAATTTTACATTTCCTAATGAATAAATAACCTATCTTTCTAAGTTCCTTCTGCATTTTTATTTTTGGGACATAATTGGGACAGACATATTATATTTCTTCATAGCTAATTCTTCATTCTGGAGCCCCAACTTCATATAGGACGACTGGAAATCTCTTTTCGGTCATATTCTGGAAATCAGTTTCTCAGAAAGATAGGTTATTTATTTATTAGCAAATGTCGAATTGTCAAATGTCATTATTTTACCGCAGTTGGCAACCATGGGGTCGCGAGGGATTTTGTGATTTTGAAAACTGACTGACTTCTTTTCAATTTAATTGTTTTTATTGCATGGTTTGCATGGTAATAACTGTATTCAGTGATTCCTAATGAAGATAAGCTTTTTTATTCCAAGCAAAAAGTTATAGAATAATCAATATAGGGTCTTCCACCAGGAACTTCCGTAATTTGACAACTGATAACGGCCATCTTGTTGAAGCTACATCTGACATCTGTCTGTTTTGCCAAATCACCATGGACGGGTATAGCATTCAACAACGTGCAAATAAAAAAACCTGTCCTCCCCATTACAGTATAATAATATCAATTATATATTATATAATAGTTAATCTTTCAAAAACAACTTTAATAAATATTTTTTCAGGCCGAATCCGTAACGACCGCATATGGTAATCCTATCTTTGAGAGATCTGCTTCGCTGAGTGTCGGTCCTAGAGGACCACTCCTTCTTCAAGATCAAACCCTTGTTGATGAACTAGCTCACTTCGAACGTGAAAGAATACCAGAAAGGGTAGTCCACGCTAAAGGAGCCGGAGCATTTGGTTACTTCGAGGTTACCGACGACATAACCAGGTACTCAGCCGCCAAGGTATTTTCGACTATTGGCAAAAAAACTCCGATCGGAGTAAGATTTTCTACCGTCGGTGGAGAATCAGGTTCTGCAGATACTGTGAGGGATCCACGTGGATTTGCCGTTAAGTTCTACACGGAAGATGGCATCTGGGACATTGTGGGAAACAACACTCCAATTTTCTTCATTAGAGACCCTATTTTCTTCCCTAGTTTCATCCACACGCAAAAGAGGAACCCTCAGACACATCTCAAGGATCCGGACATGTTTTGGGATTTCATGTCATTGAGATCAGAAACTATGCATCAACTATTGTTCTTGTTCTCTGACAGAGGTAGGTATCATTGGACATCAATTGAAATGTTTCTATGGCTTGTGCCTGTATTAGGAGTACAAAGTATATCTTGCTTCTCTGATTGAATATTATAATGAAACCATTCGACGAGGTTGTCTACATTTGAATCCGCGTTCATCGATAGTAGATTCATCTTCTACCAAAGTAGCATCCGAAGATTTAAAAATATCCGCTAGAGGCAGCACTGGTGGTGATACATATGTTTCGATTTCTCTGTTGACAGGAACGTTAAACGCATGACTCAACATCAAAGTAAATGAATTGACCTTATTAGGTGATGCGACCCCATGGTTGCCAACTGCGGTAAAATAATGACATTTGCTAATGAATAAATAACCTAACTTTCTGAGTTCCTTCTGCATTTTCATTTTTGGGGCATAATTGGGAGAGACCATCTAATATTTCTTCATAGCTGATTCTTAATTCTGGAGCCCCAACTTCATATAGGACGACTGGAAATTTCTTTTCAGCCATATTCTGGAAATCACTTACTCATTAACCAAAAATGAAAATGCAGTAGGAACTCAGAAAGATAGGTTATTTATTTATTAACAAATGTCAAATGTCATTATTTTACCGGAGTTGGAAACAATGGGATCGCATCACTTAATAAGGTCAGTTGATAAAATAAGATATATAAAAAAATGATCATGCCTACCAAACATTGTGCTTTCATGAATTGCACTTCTGACTGTCGATTCAGACAAGATGGTATAAAATGTGTACCATTTATAAAGTTGACACGAAAAAGTATTCAACAATTGAAAAAATAAAAAAACATACTTATGTATGTACTAAACATTTTTTAAATCTGAATGGTCCAAAAACAGAAAATCCAAATCCGTATTATCAGCGACTTTTTATTTTATGAGGTTATAGGTACTCTAGATATGTCAACCTATTAATGAATTGAAATATAATAAACAAGAAAGTGAAATTTTGTTATATCTATATTTGAAAGATAAAATACTCTTCAATTCTTGAATAAAAAAAGTATTATCATCGACTGTTTATTTTACGAGGTTATGCTCCAGATGTCAACCTATTGATAAATTATAATATAATAAACAGAAAAGTGAAATTCCGCTACATCTGTATTTGAAAGATAAAATATTCTTCAACTCTTGAATGAAAAAAGGAGCATTAACAGAAATAAGCAAATAAAATATTCGAATTTTTCACAACAAATAAAGCGAACTGTCAACAACAAATCTTTCTACAAGTTCATTTTCCTAACCTCAAACAGGTGAACCGCCGCTTGCAAACTATCGTTTTAAATCCCGAACAAGATGTTCTTGGATTTTTGAAAATTTAAGTTTTGTTTCAGGTACATCATCTTCCTTTAATTCCATTTATTGAATGTATGTTTAACGGTACTGTCAACAAAGAAATCAGAACATATGTATCCTCCACTACTGCTGTCTCTAGCGAAACTTTATCAAATCTTCGGAGTTAACAGGCTAATTCAACTTAAGGTGTTCAAAAATTAGGTTATAAGTATACTGTTCAAAAAATATGATGAATGTTCAAATTTCGCGGACATCGAGGATTGGAAAAAACGCTGACAGAAGTGTATTATATCTGAAGGGAACTACTTCGGAGAGGACAAAAAAGGAAATTTATGAATTAATGAATATTTTTTTGAGGAAAATTAAAATTCTCCTGATTTTTTTTAACAGACGGCGTATGGTTATCAATTATTTCGTTTAAGTCATAATATTATTCATTTTGCTACCAAGTAACAGATTAGTGAAAACTCATAACAGGATATGCTAAAAAATATTGTGGAAAATTCTTCAGATTTTATCAATGTTTGTTTAAATGTGTTCACAATTAATTCTTTCACAGAAGAGATTTTGAGTGTTCACATAAATCTAAAAGTTGAGAAATGATTAGGACAATAGAATTAAGTAAAATATTGAATATAAATATGCACTGAGAGAAATTTGAATCAACCTTAATGAATAATTTCAAAAGCAAAACTAGAAAATGAATATTTCGAAACAATATCTCAAACTGGTAAAAGCCTACCGGAAAACTACTTCCCCGGCTAATACCACGCCGGATATTGAATTATATCCGACAGACATTAATAGAAGATACCTCACACAGGTAAATCGTTTTTCATTTCTTACTTATATTTTTCTTACTTAATACTTACTTAATAACTGAAACTTTGTTCTGAATGAATATATAAATAAATATGTAAAGTTATATCCTACATAGAATATGTGCGATATATTTTTTTTCATGATTTTCTGGTATTTCATTAAAAATAGAATAATTTATTTTGATTTTTATGTATTATGTGTAGATAAAGTACATTAATTATGTTTATATTAAGCTTGCCTATCTGGAAATAAAGTTCTTCTTAGTACCTTATCTGTTGAATAATATGCCCTCAGAGTATTGTAAATTTATCTGCTCCTGCTCTGAAGAAAAATCTCTCAAAGAGGCTATCCTCCAATAATTTTATTTATTCCCACATGACATACTAATTTCTTATCTCAATTATCAGAATAAACTGTAATTTCAGGAATTCCTGATGGATACAGATTCATGAACGGATACGGCTCCCACACATTCAAACTGATCAACCAAGACGGCAAAGTGCATTTCTGCAAATTCCACTACAAAACTGATCAAGGGATCAAAAACCTAGACGCATCGAAAGCTGATCAACTCGCTGGTCTAGATCCCGATTATAGTATCAGGGACTTGTTCAATGCCATTGCTGAGGGCAACTACCCAACTTGGACTTTGTACATACAGGTCATGACTCCTGAGCAAGCCGCGGCCTGCAAATTCAATCCGTTTGACCTGACCAAAGTATGGCCTCACTCTCAAAATCCGTTGATCAAAGTAGGAAAACTGGTACTGAACCGTAATCCTGAGAACTACTTCACAGAGGTTGAACAAATCGCGTTCAGCCCTGCTCATTTGGTACCAGGAATCGATTCTTCTCCTGATAAAATGTTGCAAGCACGTTTGTTTGCTTATGGCGACACGCACAGACATCGTCTTGGACCTAACCATTTGCAGTTGCCCGTTAACTGTCCTTTCAAAGTACGCAATTATCAGCGTGATGGGCCAATGTGCCTGAACAACCAAGGAAGTGCCCCCAACTATTTCCCCAACAGCTTTGGAGGACCTGAAAGTGCTAAGTGGGCTCAAGCTCTGAACCCACCTTTCACAGTTTCTGGAGAGGCGTACAGGTAATATAATTATCATCGAATCCATATATTTTCGTTACTCGAATTCCAGTAACCTCACTTTTATCATAATCAATTTCAGAGAAACTGTTGCATAAAAAATGGTTATATACATCATAGAAAGTTTCAATTCTCTTTTTTTCATTATGATTTCCTACCACATAGTAACGGCTACATACATCAATGGGGAATGTTCCTCAATTTGGGTTATTACAGCAAATGCAAGTTTGAACAAAATAAAGTTGAGTTCAATTCATGAGTTTTTCAAATTCACTTCGAAGAGTATTCAAATTGTTGGGAAANTCCAGTTTTTTAACAAATTGTTTCATCAACCCTAACTTGATGTGCAGAGGTAGCATTAACCCTTTTTCCGAAAATTATTTTGTAGAGTCGTGTTATCACTACGTAAGGTTTGTGAAATTGGGATTAGGAATTATATAGAAATACATTTTTGTTTCGAATGTGTAGATCGTTACAGGTATTCTATTTTTATTCATATGTATTTTTATCAAACGTATGGCGGTTAGCGCGAAGTTGTGAGTATTGCGGGTGACGCATGATGTTGTATTGAAGCACACCAGCCGTTGGTCACCATACAGTAACAATGGTCTTTTTTGGTGGGTTTTTGCCTTTGGAAAGCCCAACCACTGTCTTGAACGTCTCCTGTTATGGTAGAGCAGGGTTTTTCAAACTTATTGTCCCACATACCCCTATTAGACCTTTAGGACCACGGCGAATCCCTTACAAAAAAAGCAATAGATACACTTGTTTGGCGTTAGGTAATAGAACAAAATAGTCTTGCTATTGCTAGTCTTGAATATTGAAAAAAATAACATGAGTAGGTTAGGTCAAAAGTGAGAGGGTCTATTCGACCCTCCACCTCAACCCGCAAGTGTTTATTGTGGCTCACAACTATTCACATTCGACCAAATAAACCCAGCTTCTTAACGAAGCCGATTAGTTTGTATGGTAAATGGTCTTTCAGGTCAGATGGTAAAAGTACGGCTCTGCCGAACTCTAAAAACCTGATTCGGTCCCCAGCGGGACAGGTACAAAGTATATGCTCTGCTGTTTCATCGTTAATGAGGTAGTCGGATAGTTTAGTTTTTTAGGTTCAGTTATTGGATCAGTAGTTGAAGAGTTGAGAGGCTCTTGCTCCTGATCTAAATTTACAGGGAGGTCAGTTGGAGTCGTAGCCTCGACATCCAACCCTCTGTAAACTCGCCCCAGATTTAAATTTACAGGGAGGTCAGTTGGAGTCGTAAGCTCAACATCCATCTCATCTGTAGACTCAGCGTCAGAAAGATTTTTTAAGTTTAGTCTGTCCATAAAAGTCCCGTGAGCAGCTAGGGAAAGAAGGTCAATCACGGCAGAGCCCCGCATTACCGTGACAAAGCGATGCTACGACGAGAAGGCGCCCAGTATCTCGAAGGATCTGTAGGGACAGCTGATAGGCTCAGTGTCATTTATCCTCTTGGCACGGATACACACCTTAGGATTAAGCCATAGTTAGGATGCCATTCAATTAGGAAATAACAGAACCACAAGTGATTCTGTCATTCCCGCATATTCAGCGGGGCTACGTGGAAGCAGGCATCCGATGGCCGGTTTGCTCAACCCCCACATCCCAAACCAATGCACTCACCGAAAACAGAATGCACAGTGGTTCAGGCAGTGAAAAATGAACAAAGACAGCCAACCCGCCACACGAGTAGGTACTCAAATAATATAATTATAACAAATCCGGCTAACGTCCGCTGTCATGTGGATGCTCACAAGTCTTGGTGGTTGCCGGCGGGTACGTTAATGTGATCACTGGGCTTTTTTTTTGTCACAAATGGAGTCGATTTGGGAGAAATTCAACACTCAACTTCAATGCTAATTAATATTCAGCATTCAGTCGTTTCCTGCATTTTGTCTTCATCATGACCAAGTGTGAAAACCCACATAAGTTGTCAGGAAGGGCAATATAAATTTCATTGCTTTATCTAAGAGCTCTGGATATTCTTGATTTCTTGCTGTCCAATATTTATGAAATCAGTTTGATTTTACGCCTAGCCGCCGCCATTACGTAAATTTTATCGCTTACCTCCTATGACTCAATGACGTAGGTACAACCAGTGGTACGCTTACCCCACTTTGAGAAACCCTGTGGTAGAGGATCCACTTTTCATCCGACCCAAAGAAGTATCGTTTGGTTGCGCAAAAGCTAAGAAGAATACACCTCGGAACGTGACAATTTCTGTTGATGGTTCAAATCGTCGAACAGTACGTTCATCAACACTACAACTGCTAAATGCCTGGTTAATATTTTTCTGGATATACCTATTTATCTATCGATCAATAAATACCACGGCACACTAAAATAAATATTCATTGATATGGAGCTACAAAAATACATGACATTAAAATGGTCAAAACTGCTGAAACAACTTAATATCAGGTTACACACTATAGAGGTATATTAGGCTACAACTTTACTCTAATTGAAAGCAGAGTTTACTTGGACATGTTTCTGAATATATCAGAGTATGGCTTTATAGCAAAAGAGACCTGCACGACTAGTAGAGAGAACAAAATTGTTGAAATGGGTGTCATGAAAATGATGGGGGAGAAAAGGCAATAAACCCTCGACACTGCAGTGTGTTTCCGCTCCTAGGAACGGAAAAAAAAGCATCCATAATACTAGTTGTTTTATGAACATTTCAGGTCGAGATTATCACAGCCTGAGAAGTTTATGATCACAACCTTGAATGATTTTTTGAAACCATGTACACAGCATCAAAATGTTTTGTTTCAACAACTTTCAGTGGAAGGATATCGACATGTATTGAAATAACATTCAGGATCATATCTAATAGATGTGAATTTTTTTGTATCTTCTTGGGTGCTGTTGATATTTCATTTGACTTTTATTCATATTCAAATCAGCACATGCTTCAATTGGATTCATGTGAAAGTGTCAAAACAAAATACAAATATCTGATAAGAAAGAAAATATTTATAATGGTGTAAAACGACATTAAATTCGGAAAATATGATTTGTAATAGCCGTATTCGAATAAAGTCATTAGCTCTAAGCTCAATTTTTATTATTTCAGATATGAAACAGGAGAAGACGATAACTTTGCGCAAGCAAGACAATTCTTCCAGAAAACATTGAAAAAAGATGAGCAAGACAGGATGATTGCTAACATTGTTGCGAATCTGTCGAATGCTTCGGACTTCATACAGGAGAGACAGGTGAAACTCTTCAGACAAGTTGATAATACCATGGGAGAACGGATTGCTCAGGGCTTGACCACACTGAGACGTACTAGATCAAACTTGTAATTGGTGATGGTACCAGCATAACATCCAATAAATGAAATACATTTTTAAGGTGTCAGTTATAAGGTTTTAATATTAAAAATAGATACATATTTTGGTTTAATAATTGTTTCATTTACCATCCTGAGAAATATGACAGAGCATGGATTGGTGGGAGACTTGCCCAGAAACCACTATCAAATGTTAGTTAAAACTAATATTAATATGTAAGCTGGTTGATAAGAGCGAGTGGTTGAGCCGGTTGAGTAGAGCGTTTTGAATACATGTGCGACAGATAACGCCTCTGGTGTTTAACAGACTCGATTTTGTTGTATCTCTCTAATTCTATGGCCTTTGCTTCTCAAGGTCGTCCTGTCCATAGATAACAGAAGCTTCGTCCGGGGCACAGAACTATAACTCTATGTTATAGTTCTGTGGTCCGGGGACGCAGCGGTCTTTCTCTCGGCAATGCTGCCACCCTACATTTTTTCTTTCAACAATAACACCTTATTTATTAATGGTCGCCTCCTTCTCTAAATTTTTTCTTTCAACAAAAACTCTTTATTTATTACTGGTCGCTTCCATCTCGGGAGTACTTCGGTTAAAAATAACACAAATAAACATGTGCATATATTTTATAGAACTGACGAATCCGTCGACATCCAGCCTAGATACTGGCGTAGGAGGCCGCCCGTTCTCTCTCTCTCTATGTTCATGGCGTTTGCTTCCATTGAGGCGCATTAAGCCTAGGCCGCCTGTTTATAACTATTGTAGGAGTTACAACCTTGTCAAATCCGTCGAGATCCAACCTATTTACTGGCGTAAGAGGCTACGTATTTCACTTCTGTTTTTAGTAGACCGTTACATTATTTTATTGATGTAGTGTCCAAAAGTGATATGTATACTACGTTATCGAAACAATCGTCTTCTGTCGCGGTCGGAAAGGAATCCTTTTGTTTTGTCTAAAACTCTCAACTCGAGAAATTTTCTACACATGTTGGTAGATGGCGCAAGAATCATAATCTGTCGCTCGCATTTTATTCAGATCCTGTAACTAATGGACCATAATGTGCAAAATCTTTCACTTGATATCAATTCATTCCCAAATGTAAATAATATTGAAAATTAGAGTACTAATTTGACAATATCTCTTTCAAGTAAACTCTGCACCCTTGTGAATGGGAGGCAATATAGAATATATTTACTATTTCTTCATCGAGTGCTCTTGGTTCAGAATTGAGACCACCGTTGTCTGAGCAATTCCATTTTGGGTTCAATTCCAAATCTTCTCGTGTAACTTCCTCTAAATTTGACGAATTGTTGTTATTGTGGGGGTACAGTCTTTCAATATTACAGAACTTACACTTCCTGCATAACGGCAGGCTAGACATGCCAAATTCGTTTTTTCTGTTATTTTCTAGACTTGCCTACAAACTGCATTCATTTAATATGTGTACTTCATCGTAAATACAAAACGACTTTTCAGTTGTGATTAAGTACTATTGGAAGGAAATGACAGCTGACAACAGATTCACTATTCGCATGGAAATTTGTCGTACGAGTATGAACGCTATCAATGCGATTGTTACATTATTCAAATTTAAAAAAGCCTACAATGTGAAATATGAACTCGATTTGACCTTGAATTCGAATAACTTCCTCCAAACCCTAGCGCCACTCGTGGTTATCTTATGAACATTCAGAAAAACTAGACCAAAACATTGTTAATTCTCAGGAACAGTACCATCAACTCCATTAACAATGAATTATCTATAATAGAAAAAAAATTACTTTAGATTTCTACCTCATGATCAACATTAATAAAAAAAAACAATCCTCAGAAAGTAACATCCTCTCAGTAAAAATTTGAAACTAGGAGAGATAATAATTTATTTGTCCACCAGATGCCGCCAGGGGTCGTTTTTTTGCAGATTTATAAATTCGGCATTTTCAATTTTGTAGATATTATGAAGAAATTAAGGTTTTATTTGTAACACAAGCAGTTTTCACAGTTTAATTGGGATTGTTGTAGTTATTTTAAAACTGATACATCTGCGTGTTCCTATTGTGATCAGTCGACAGTCACAGTGAAGTTGACAAATGTCATTATTTTCTGTTCTGTAATCTGTAGCGAATATTTTTATGAACACATCAAGTTTCTGCCAAACATTGGCAGCAGAATGTTGAAATAACTCATTTATTAATGAACATTATCAAATTCGAAATCGTTTTTAAGTTGAATCTACATAATTTATAGCATTTGAAGAACTTTAAAAAAGCATGAATTTAAATTACCGCCACGCCTGCGCAAACATTGATATTTACGCCTCCTACCATACACACTTGTATATTACAGTAACTTATAGTGCAAGGATATCGCCATTGAAGTGTTGTGAGAGAAAATCACTTTCGTTATTTAATTTACAGAATACCTCTGCCAAAAATCCCGAAATATTAATTAGTCATTTTGTTTTTGCGATGGAGAACTCAAACTCGGAAGATGTCGTCCTGCCGGACATTTCCGAAGCCGAACATCTTGCGAGTGAGCACGATGGCGGAGATGATGGCGACTGTGACTCTGTTGTGGACTCGAAAAAATCTTTGGTGTCAACTGTTTCTGTTAGACACGGAGGCGTGCCAGTTTCTCTTCCAGTGGGTTCCCTGATAACCAGTACATTCAATGTTATCACCCAAGACCAAATTCCACATTTCAAGCCTATGCTATGCGTGGACAATAGCGGGTACTTGTCCGCTGATGGAACTGGTGGTGAATTGAAAACGATCGTCATCCAACAGGAAGAAGTTTCCGGAGGTTCTGCAGGAACTCCCGCACCATCCGTGGTAGGAACGTGGAATGACGCTGCAAATGCTGCTGTTTTGCCTGTGAGATGTAAAAATACATCTGCAGAACTTCACAAATGCAGATTTGGTTCCGGTGGAAGAGGTCGATGTATAAAACTCGGAAATTCGTGGTACACTCCTAGTGAATTTGAAGCCCTCTGTGGCAGGGCCTCGAGCAAAGATTGGAAGAGGAGTATAAGGTTTGGCGGCAGAAGCCTACAAACCTTAATAGATGAAGGTAGGTGTAAGTAACGCATATGTGCAGCTTCAAAATGTTACAAAATAAAAAGGTTAGATTCAACTCTTGGAAGGGGCCATCATATGAATTGAAATTAACTAACTGAATTTCAGTGGCAAAAACCAGTTGACTCTCTCATTATAAGGAAACGACAAACCAATTATAATAGAATAATGGAGAATAATTTGTGTTTGTTTTCAGTGCACTATATAATTGAGGGTAAGAAACTGACAAAGAAATAAGCAGCAAATTCAGCGTATCTTTGAAACATAGATAATTTGGGTAAATGGTGAATATTTGCCTTGAGGGTGTGTTAGATGTTGAGGGGTTAAGTTTTTGTGACCCATATTATGGTTGGAGGGTAATTAGTCGGATACTTACCTTGCACTTTTATCAAAACGATTCTGTACTTATTAGACTTGGCTTCATTTCTTGAAAATAGGAAACAATTTGTATCAATACAAGTCAATAGAATGAATGAAGTTTATAGAGTCAGTTCTAATTTTCTAAATCTAAGGATGACTGTGCCACATGGTTCAATAACGGGTCCTCTACTGTACCCTCCATTTAAATGATATCAAATCGGCAGTTACTAGAAGCCTTTATACCTCTTATGCAAAAGACTTGCCAGTTAACAAATATCTGATGTTTCCTCTTGTATTTAACCTGGAAACTTATATTGTGTAGTCTTTAATTCTTCATTTTATTTTACAGGAATAATTCTACCTCATGCAACAAGTTGCACATGCGCAGCTTGCTGTGACGATGAAACAGCTACAGGTCCAGTCCGCCTTTTCACTCCTTACAAGAGAAAGCGTAGGAAAGAAAATGATTCTAGTAAAAGGTCCAACGGTGACGACAGTGACCACCAGAGCAAAGAAGACGCTTGGCAAAACCTAGCAGAAGGTTTGGACTCCAATGATTATCAGCTCATTGAACCAATGGGTTCCGTGGACCCTCAGTGTCAAATCAAAAGGCTTGAGGATATCGCCGTACAAATGAACAGACTCGCAATGGACTTCCGTCGAGGGTTGGAGGAATTGAAGGACAATATGAGTAGACAAAATGATAAATTTCAAAGGGAAAAAGAGGCCGCAATCTTGGCTGCTAGAGTTGAGGCCCAAGTGGCTGCTCTCCAGCCAGAGGGAAATGATTCGACATTACAACCAGCAATGGATAACGATAACCAAAAAAAGGTAATAATAATAATATTTATTCAGTTGGATCATCTATAGATGACATTGAGTATGACAAAACATACAAAATTAAAAATACAAACTCCGCACACTCAGAAGCACAACAGTGCCATTATAAAAATAAAATAATCGAATCGGATAATAAAACCGTTGAAACTTGGAAAATAATTAACGAACTTAGAGGAAAATCGGCTAGAAATAATAATCTACCTATTTCACCTAATACTTTGAATAATTATTTCTGCTCAGTCGCTGGTAATATAAAAAAAAACATAACATCAAATGATGATCCCCTAGAGAATTTTGAACGATTCAAAGTAGTAGAAACCTTTGTCTTGCATATTCCTGAGTCAATAATATCTGAATATTTCAAAGTAAAATTTGGTTTTGATTAATTTCTTTTTCTGCCTTCTCCCTAAAATTTGACATTGACAATCGACCGTTTGAAATTTGGCAATACTTACAGGTTGCTTAAGCATCGGTGTGAAAATGCTGGAAAAATCATTAAAAAAATATTGTGTGGCTCATATTAAAAATTCTAGAACCCAATAGAAGTGGGTGATACTTGAAATGGTTGGAGCTAAGTGGGAAACGTTAATATTTCATGAAACTGCACGTCGTCTTGAGTTCAATCAGGATGGAGCAATTCACCGACTCGCTCACTGACTGACTCACCGACTCACACACTGGCTGACTTACTTACTGACTAACTCACTGGCTGATTGACTCATTGACTAACTCGTCGATTGACTCGCTGACTCACTGACTGACTCGTTGACTGACCTTAACCATTTTGTCTTCTAGAATAATTTGGCGTTGCATGTATCAATAGGCAAGTTCAGACCTAAAATAATCTGCTATTTATGCAACAGCATCGTTATTAAAATCGGCCAAAAATGTTGGACATATACATACTGTATAAAAGTCAAAACCAAAAATAATCTGTTATTTCTTGAAATAACATATAAGTGGAAATTAGGTAAAAAACGGCTGTTCATCCAGGAGTTGATGCCAGAATTCGAGTCGTCGACGTAAAAACCTTAACTTCGGAATATAGGCGCCCAGTCACAAAAATTTGCAGATTGGAGCTAGAGGAAAAGTAATTCCTCCAGCGGGAGGAGAATGTTATATTGATTTGTTCATCCTTTTATTAGTTTGCTTTTATTTATTGAAAATACGACCCTGTAGATAAAAAAACAAATTTTTTTAGATAGTTACTGATAATTTGTCAAAAGAAAATCAAAAACCCTAAGTGAATTATCAATGTTTCGCATGAACAAAATATATCGGCATGTACAGACAGTGCAAGAACTGGAGTTGTGCAGTTTGGTGAAAGACTCGCAGCAAAACCGTCAAGTTTTGACAGAAAAGGAAGTGGGAACTCTAAATGAGGCTGAGTTTGGTCCTCTGGCTGAACCCTCGAAAGAACTAATATCTAATTCAGTTTTGAGCAGTTTTGCTTCGAATTCCTTATCCTACCAGTCCAATGAAGGGGTGAATCGTCCTACCCGTGTTTACTCAGAAGAAGATAGTAGTGGCAAACGTAGTTGCAACAATAGATCGGTGATACATTCCTCAATCAAAACTCTTGGGTTCAATGGTTTAAAGAATCTTGGAAACACCTGTTTCATGAACAGTATAATCCAATGTTTATCAAACACGGGATGGTTGCTGGAATACCTAAAAAAGAATGCATACATGGAATATATCAATACTAGTATTTCTAGTATGAAAGGTGTTTTAATCAAATCGTTCAAAGAAGTTATCAAGGAATTATGGTCAGAAGATTCATCTGATAGAGTAATTAACAGTCTACTTCAAAAATCAGATTCAAAGATTTGCCCCTCGATACATAGGTTCTGTCCATCAAGACGCCCACGAATTCCTTCGATATCTTTTAGAAGGTTTACATGAGGACCTCAACAAAATTACTGAGAAACCTGAACCAATCTTAACTGAGATTGACGAAAAATTGAGCTATAACGGAAAAGCACAAGAGTCCTGGCAGAGATATTTGAATATGAACAACTCCAAGATTGTAGACTATTTCATTGGTCAATTAAAATCCACTATGAAGTGCACACACTGTAGACACTCATCAGTAACATTTGATCCTTTCTGGGGTTTGTCCCTTCCCATACCACAAAGATCTGGCCAAGTGAGTTTGTCACATTGCTTGGATTCTTTCACAAGAGAGGAAACTCTGGATGGAGATGAAAAACCAATGTGTTCGAGGTGCAAGCAAAGGAGAAAATGTACAAAGTCCTTATCAATCTATAAGTTTCCCCGTATTTTAGTCATTCATTTGAAAAGATTCTCTCCGACGGAAAAGTTCAGAGGCAAATTGAATGTTTCCATTGATTTTTCTTCAGATAGATTAGATATGAGCAGTTATGCAGCAGACGATGTGGCTCCTTGTCGTTATAATCTATATGCACTTTCAAATCACAGTGGGACTACATCTTCAAACCCAAACATTTTGTCTCTTCTTGTTGTTGAATTGATCCATTAATTGACGTTACTAGTAAACTGTGATCTTGAATGATTTAAACGTAAAAGCACAGTTTTTCTTTCATTTAACAAGAGACCATTGTATGAGAACCACTTTTGGGTTCATTTTATTTCATCAGATGCTTTATTAACTGTGGCTTTAATATTTTCCTGAGTTATCAATAAAGATGTGTCATCAGCATACATAAAGAAGTGATCACTGTAAAAATCATTCACATATACCTAATAAAGAACCCTGAGGAACCCCGGGGGAACAATTTTGAGATTCTGATTTATTTCTGCTAACCTCTACATAGCAGTATCTACCCTGTAAATAACTTACAAACCATTTGTGGGTTATTCCCCTGATTCCATACATTTCAAGCTTTGTTAGGAGAATTTTGCGATCTACCATATGAAATGCCTTACTTAAGTCTATGAAAATCCCTAGCGTTTTTTTACCTTCATCCAACTCCCTGTACACGTTGTTGAGGAACTGTGTAATCGCTTGACTTGTGGACAATCCCTTGCAAAAGCCATACTGGTTCTCTTTATTAAACAGGCTCCATTCATTGATAATAGTTATCATTAGACTTGAAACATATTTTTCATATACTTTTGAGAATGGGCTGAGGGAAATTGGCCTGAAATTTTGTATGTCAGTGTCATTTCCCTTCTTATGAATTGGCACAATTTTTGAAATCTTCAGGCACTTAGGAAAAATTCCCTCTTCCCAGGAGCAATCGATCAAGTAGGTAAGAGGTTCAGCTATAAAATTTGTGCATTTTTTCAGTATATTCTTACTTATTCCGTCATAACCGGTGGAATTTGAGTGGCTTAGGTTAATGACAATGGCTAGTATATCATACTCTGTGGCAGGTATGAAGTAGAAGGAATGAGCATTGATGTATTTAAGAGTTACTTCGCTTTTGGTAACCTTATTTTTCTGCAAAAGAATATTTGGAATGTCATTAAAGTAGTTAATGAAACAGTTAGATACCTCTGCAGGTTGGAATGACAATGTGTATAATAAGTACGTTCTCAGCTAAACCCTTTTTTTATCGGAATGAACAGGGATACCCGACTTCGCTCAGGGGGTTGATATGAGATCGTATGTCATCCATGGTATATATGAACAAATTTTTTAATCAAGACCAAATTGACCACGAGGAAAGCAGAGGTCTTTGTGGTTGATATATATAAATATCTTCATTAATACAAAGTTAATAGATATCTCACCAGAGAATATCCGAAGTTAACCACCTCATAAATAGTTGAGGAAAATAAGGCTACTTCCTCTTACGGAGACGACAACTGGGAAGTTGTCACGTGAACAGAAAATATTTGAATAGTTTCATTGAAGTGTCTAAGTACCATTGTTTAATGAGATTCTCGTATTAATAAATACATCTGTTAATTAATGAGTCTGCTAGTCATTATTGTACTAATAAATAAACCGGGGTGAATAACTTATAAAGTTTTTGCACCTAATATTTTGGGAACCGAGATATATATCAATCTCATTACAATAGTTCTACATGAATATTTTTTTGTCAGATCGTTCAATTCAAGAAACATTCATAACCCGTTACATTTATTCATCTTTGCACTTTGGTGTACAGTGAAATGAACCTAACCAAAAATTTTGAGAGCAAGTCCTCTTATCATTCTCTCCTTTTTCATTTCAGTGTGCTAATTGCAACAGAGAGGCTCTCGCTGAATGTTCTTTATGTCGAAGAACTCCATATTGTTCCACTTTCTGCCAACGAAAGGACTGGGCTTCACATCAGGTCGAGTGTGTAAGAGGAGTTGCAAGTGATGCAGGTCCTCAACAGTCTATAATGCTTATAGTGGAAAGCTCAGAGCAACAATGAAGTATATCTGATTTCTATAATCTATCACGGTACCAAAAAAATTGTATAAATATGTATATAGAATCTATATTTTTACGGAGGTTTATGATGGTACATTCTCTAGGTTAGGTGTGAGATCAGTTGTGTGTGTTTATATCTCAGCTTTCATTCTAAATACAAAGAAACTTCTCACCATTTTTAGCTTGAAACAATAATTTATTGTATAAAAAAATTTTAGGTTTGTTTCAAGATTTTTTTTAATGTATCCAACATTTTGGAGAACAAAAATATCAAACTGTTAACAATTCTTAATTAATTTTACCAAGTTATGTGTAATGTTTATTGTACATATGTATATCTGGTTTTAATAGTTGAGACTTCAGTTGAGTTTTTTAATAAAAAAGATGGAGTATTTGTTTTCATTATTAAAGTATTACTTTGTTTCCATATGCTTCCTATAATTATTGATATCCCCATAATGAACACAAGAAATAAAAATTTCAATATTAAGTTGGTTGACTTTTCAGCAAATTTCATGGGAGGCAGTTTTCATGTACGAAGTATCTTTCGAAATCTATCACAAAAAGTTATGTGAATTTTGCGAAATAGCATTTCCACTTCAGAAAATAAAAATCAAAAATAGAAAACCTTGGATCACCACAGGATTCAAAATTTCTTCAAAAAATATGAGATCCCCCCCTTACAAGGGAATACTTGAACAGTATTACTTTTGAAACACTTCAATAAGTACAGAAAAATCTATAGGGGAGTAATACGTAAAGCAAAAGATATATATTACAAAGACAGAATGAATAATGCTGCTAATAAAGTGAAAGAAACATGAAATATTGTCAATGAATTGAGGGGAATGAACAATAACCAAAAATTCATGCATTTTTTATAACACCGATATATGAGAAATGAAAAGTATCATCATTAACCTGAGAAAGCTACATCATTATGGGATTGCTGGAAATGGTTTGAATCCTACCTTACAGGACGTAGACAGTTTGTTAAAATCAATAGTTGCTCAAGTACAAAGAATGTGAAAGCAGGAGTGCCCCAAGGATCGATCTTAGAGCCCATACTTTTTTTTACTATACGTAAATAACCTGGCAGTTTCACCATTTTTGCAGATGATACCACACTTGTGTGGTATGAAAGCATCTGTAATGAAAATCTGCTGTCATTCAACACTAAAAAAATTAGTATAATCACCTTTAAGTGTAACCTACCAGAAATTCATATGGAAAGTACACTAGTGGAAAATAAGATCTCTTGGGAATTAATATCGACGAGTGTCTGAAATTTGAGGAGCACATAGGCATTATAAACAAGAAACTTACCTCCGGGTGTTTTGCACTAAGAATAGTATCAAAAGAACTGGGATTTCACGCAGCAAAAAATGTTTATTATGCCCTCATAGACTCTCACCTAAGGTATGGCATAGCATTTTGGGGTGTATGCAGTAAACAGCTGTTTCAATCTGTATTCATATTACAAAAACGTGCGGTACGGTATCTCTGTGGAGCAAAGTGGAATGATCCTTGTAAACCACTGTTTTTAATGCATGGTATTTTAACTGTGACTCCATTGTTTATTCCTGAATCAACATGCTTTATACACAAGAACAAAGGTACCTTTACTCCTCCGCCTCACCACAATAGTAAATAAGCTTGCCAAATAAAGGTTCCTATCCCAACAAGTAGTCAAATCAAAAACTCAATTAATTATAATGGAGTGAAAATGTATAACAAGTTACCTAAATGTTCAACAGAATGTGTCACGCTACTATCTTTTAGGAGAAACTTAAAGGCACTTCAAGTGGTCACATTAAAAAATGTTTACTGGGGTTACACATCGATGGTAAACTGAAATCAAATTACCATCCGACTATTATGTTATTCATGTCATGTCATATGAACTTTGACTGTTTTAACGCAGACTCACTAATTGCCTCACCTGAGATATGCCATTGCCTTCTGGAAGCAATGGCATATCCCACAATACTATTATATTGTGACACCTGAAGATGCAATTGTATGATGAAACACGTGTTGCAGTTTTGCAAACTTTCAAGTGGAAATCAATCTCACAACAAAGCGTGTTTTTTTAATTTCTCTTTGGATATAGCTGTAAATAAAATGTAGCTGTGAATGGACAAACTGGTTTATGAATGTACAAAAAACAATCAATTCAGACATAATATAAAATGAAATGTTATTATGAATCCCTCGTCGGCCATGACTGTTTGAGGTTTTCCAAAAACTTATTTGAACTTTCCGATTTCAAATCATTCAACTCCACAGCTTCGAAATCAAATTCTCTTTTCAAAAGCTTTTGAGCAGCACCGTTGACAAGTCTGTTGAGATAGGGGTCCAGCATCATCGTAGGGGCTAGAGGGACATAAACTTTGGGGTCACTGCCAGAAACATCAATGCTTCGAAGGAACCTAGTTACATCGTCCTCTTTGGCTTTCACTTTGGATGGTGCTGGTTCCGCATATTTGTGAGGTGTCATTTCATTTGTGTAAGGTATTCTTACCATGATAAAACAAACGGGATCTAAATCTGGCCGAGGAATCAAAGCAAAATACTTTGCTCTGTTGTTATTCATGTATACGCGTTTTATGATTCCGTATTTATTCTGACTGGCTAAAACATCGACCAAATTGTAAAAAGCCTGACAACTATCATCGGCCATTTCATTGTTGGGCAACACATAAAAGGTTTCCTCTCCTGCAAATGAAAGATTTAAATTAACTCAGAATAACTACTAAAAATAAAATAGTGTTGGAATAGTTATAATAAAATAGAATGGTTGTCCTCTTCCACAAAGGACTGATTGAAATTTTGTTAACATATTTTTAAGTAATCAAAAAAACAAGAAGTATTACAGCTTGTCAAATGTAGAAAAACCTTTCTCTAGAAATGCTTTCGTTAGGAGACTGTGTGATAGAGAGAGAGATAGAATTCTCAAGTCTCTTCCTGGTTTTGACAATGTATACACAGATTCATAAGCAGAGAATAAGCTAATAATCTCAAGAAGTGAATGGTGAAGCAAGTAATTAGGAATTAATATACTTTATTGGCAAAATATTTGCATCTCACCTACAATATCATTATGAAAAATTGAACGAAAGACATAACCATTACATTAGAGATCAAACAAAATAACATTAACAGTTTCATAACGAAAAAACCAGATGAAGTATACTTAAAATTTTGAAATTATCACAAGTATCCACTTTTTACTTGACTTGGCTTCTAAATCCTTAAAATGAAAAGAAATTTCCACAAAGATGTTCACTTGCAAGTAAAATGAAAAATAAAAAAAATTGTTTTATGCCTAAACAGGAATAAATCCCAATAACAAGACATTAATATTATTAACAAGCATGTTACAGTTTTATATCTGCCTATATACACACAATACACATACATATATACATACATACACATATACATGAATACAATACTAATTTATCAACTAGAAACACCTGAAGCGGGTAAACAAAAAACAAAATAAAGTAAACATTTAGGAGAGTTAAGCAAAAAATTAGGTGGAAAACTTGTGTGCAGCAACCTAGGAGAGTAATTGAAAAAAAAAATATGTCAGATATAGAGCTAACAAGTAAAAACATAGTTCAGGTGTATTACAAAAAAAACATAATTCAGCAGTAATACAGTAGTAGTAATAAGCTCACATGGTAGCGTAACTTTCAATTTGGGCTCATGTATTTTGACTAGAGTGTAAAAGTTTCTTAAAGTGGTTCTTAACTTGACCAATAGGTTTATAATAAATGTCAAAATTTTCAGAGTTGATTGTAAAGTTTGCCCATTGCAACAACTGGTGACTTGAGTAATATGTTTGTTCTAGAATTTGGTAGATAAAAAGTCAGTTCATTTCTAGAATTGATTCGTGGAACATGAAAGTTGAAGTGGGAGAGTAGTTCGGGACAGTCAATCAGATTATTCACTAGTTTATAAATGAAAAAAATTATAGAGTAGTAGGTTCTTCGGTTTTGAAGGGATAATAGATTAAATTTATTCAGTAGTATTCTGTTGTCGATGCCTTGTTCAGGGTAAACTCCTTCTAGCTTATAAGTAATATATTTCATGAAGCCTCTTTGTAGAGAATCAGTTTTGTTTATGTGGACATTGTATACAGGTGACCATATAAGAGAGGCATATTCCAGCTGAGATTTGACGTATGCATTGAAAAGAGTTAAAAAACTGTCTCTGCTACGAAAGTTCTTACAGTTACAATAAATGAGCCCTAGCATCCTTTTGGCTGAACATGTTATTGTGTCATAGTGAATGGAGAAACTCAGTTTAGGGTCAAATGTGACACCAAGATCCCTTTAATGAGTGCTTATTTGAAGAGGTGTGTTATTTATGCAGTAATCATGAGAAATAACATTATGTTCAAGGGTGTATTTTGAAAGATTTTCAAATCATCTGCAAAGAGTAAGAAATTGCTAGACAGATTATTTCCTATGTTGTTAATGAAGAGTGAGAATAAAAGAGGTGCTAAATTGCTTCCTTGAGGGACACCACTGTGTGCAATAAATTGGAAAGACTTGTGACTCCTATAATCTACGAATAGGATACGTTCAGTTAAGTATGAGCGGAAAAGGTTTAAGAGTTGGGAGTCAAATCCATATTGGTGAAGTTTATTGATAAGAATGTTATGATCCAACTTGTCAAACGCCTTCGAGAAATCTGTGTAGACAGTATCTACTTGTACGTTATTATTAAGTGCATTACTTACTGAATAACATGAATATCATAAAAATAGCCACAAGTAAAAATGTCTGCAAGCAATACATATTTCAAAAATTGCTTGAGACTTGAACTGTTCCGAATGTTTGACCAGAAAATTTTGCTCAAGACTCTCATGATGAATAACTCCGAAACTAGACAAATACTTATGGGTTTCCTCCCTTACTTATGTATTGTGTTTTTCACAAGTAACTTTTGTCACTCCAAAGCATATTTCAATTATGTTTCTGTTGTGGTCAGATCTAAACATCTTTCAAGCTTTATTTCAGATAAAAAGATGGATTCATCCAAAGCTACTTTTTCATTTTTTTTTACATCATTTATGAGTTTTTTTTTTAAATAAAGTAGACTAAAACACACTTGACACACACACTTGACCTCAAATATGAAAATTCTTACCCTTCATGTAAGTCTCTGGCACAAATGTTTTGTCGGTGAACCCAACAATTTCAAAACATCTTTGATGATCCGACTTGAACATATCAGCGTCTTCAATTTTGACAAATTTTCCATGTCGAAGTACTCCTCTGACTATCTCATCATTGCTCACTTCCACTGTGTTATCTTCGGCTAACACACGAATACTCTTTCGAATTTGGTTAGGTATCAATCTCAGGGGAGCTTCTTTTCTGCAGATTTTAACTGTGAGACATGGTATTTCCAACTTTGAGCCGAAAGACATTGGCACTTTCCACAGTTGTGAACCTCGAGGATTTTTGAAGGAGGTAAATAAATTTATTCCAACATCGACATTGCAAATGACTCCCCTTTTTATATTTTGTACAATTCTTCTGGCAGTAACTAAAGACTTGTTTGACTCAGTCTAAAAAATATAAAAAGGCTTCAAAGAGTGCTTTCGCAGAATAAAAATTGATTTGTTAAAAATATTCTACAGTTTAATGAACATTAATATTTGATAAATTGGGTAATTGAAAATGTTTCCAATCTATCACCAGTCTCCTTTTTTAATAATCGTGATTCAAGACAGTCATTTTTCTGAAATACTAAAACTGAATAAACATTTGAAATTGAAATTTACATACATTTTACTTAAAAAAACCTTCATTTTTTTTAAACCTTCTTAAATTGATTATAATTTGTATTATAAAAATGAAACTTTGACATGTATATATTGCATAGTAATAGAAATCATAACTCGATAGTAAAAAAGCAACAGTGGTATGAAAATGCTTAAAAAAATACCAAACTGACATATCTAATATTGAAGGAAATTTCTTCAAAGACAAATCTGAAAAATAAAGTTGCAAGACAGTAGCAATAAATGAAGTTCTAATAGAGGACAAATATTTAAAATTGAAAAACTTTTACATACCACCACCAATTTTTTCATGCACTGGGATACATCATCAGGATGTTTTACTGTTAAGGGAAACTCAACATCAGGTCCAATAATGTATAAATATATATTATTCTCATTCAATTCTTCAATGACTGTTTTAACTTTATTTTCATCGACAGCACTACTGCTTCCATCCAAAGAAGTGAAAAACAATAGTTGAGGTGTTAAAAGTCCAGGTAATGAATTAGCTTCTTTCAAGTGGTGAATAGCTAAAAGTAATGCATCTAGCCAATTTCCTTCTTTGCTTTGGGCATTTTCTATACACTCTAGAACACTTGTAGGTGAAAAATCTTCAATATCAGTTGTGTGCAGATTAGGAAAGTTTTTTTCATTCTTGGTAGTTTTCGAATTTGACAAAATAATCCTGTACACGTCTTTGGACACCGAAAACCATTTGAATGTTGCAAGCTTAATCAAGCCACTCAAAAGCTGCTCCTTTTTGTTGGAATTGACATCAAATACTATCAGACCACAGTCAATTTTTACAGACGGTGGCATTGTACGTTTGAATGTAGAATTTATATAAGAAATTGGAAGTACTTGATCGTAATAATGAATAAAATTATTGTTAATGCTAACGACTTCTGGGCAACTCGGTTTTCTCCGTTTGTTTATTTTACAATGAGGTACTTCTCCGCAATGCCGCCAACATTAATTTTTTCTTTTGAAACTTTATTACTTTAAAATAGAAGTGGGTAATACTTGAAATGGTTGGAGCTAAGTGGGAAACGTTAATATTTCATGAAACTGCACGTCGTCTTAAGTTCAATCAGGATGGAGCGACTCACCGACTCGCTCACTGACTGACTCACCGACTCACACACTGGCTGACTGACCTACTGAATGACTCACTGACTGATTGACTCATTGACTAACTCGTCGACTGACTCGCTGACTCACTGACTGACTCGTTGACTGACCTTAACCATTTTGTCTTCTAGAATAATTTGGCGTTGCATGTATCAATAGGCAAGTTCAGCTATTTCACTATTTTTTCACTCCTTTGCGGCTTTTGAAATTGAAATGATAAATTTTCCGAAATTGAGCCTTGAGAAGTAAAAGCGTAGGTATCGAACATTTCGTATCAATCGACAAAGAGATTGCCTTTTAAAGCAACACATTTCTTGCTTTCAACATACATTTCTGTCTGGAAACGCCGACTTTTCATGCTGAGTCCTGGCAAAAATCGAGTATTTTCAGTCACATTTGTGGATAATTTGAAGATTTATCATTGACAACACTGCTAGTGTCATATCTTAAACGTCAACGGGTGGGTAGCGGCACCGTATCACAGAACACCCAACTACAGGTGTTCTGTGACCATATAGAAGTAAACACTGTTTACTTATGTACGGTGATAGCGGATAGCGGGTAGCGCGTATCGATTCAATAGGTGACAGCCGGATTTTTAAAGTTTGAGTTTGTTTTAACGGGCACTTTTATAAAAGGTAGGTTGATCTCTAATTATACTTTGGTCATTCATCAATATTATTTCACCAGATGTGGAAGAACGAGGACGAGGAAGAAAGTGACTATGAAGAAGGAGATTCTGAAGTGTTTGAGAAATCATTTACACCTTCCTATGTTGTTATCGCCATTGATACCCACTCATCAATGTTCAAAGCAAATAAAGAAGGAAAATTACATTTTCGGAGTTGTCTTGAAGCTTGCTACGCCTTGGCCGATTCTCTCATTTTCAAATCAGATAAAAGAACTTGGAGTCCTTTTTCTATAGTGTTAGCTGGAGAACAGACTGCACTTATTAATTTTCAGCATAATATACTTGATTCAGTCAAATTGTTGAAAGCAAAAACACAATTGAAAGATGATGAAATTGTGAAAGAGTTTCAGAGACAGAAAGAGTTAGATTTGGGCACTTTTTTCTTAAGTTGCAAGAAGCTTTTTCACGAAATTAAAACGACCTATTACAAAAGAACCCTAATATACATAACAAACGATGATAACCCAGTGAAAAACAAAAATACCAAATTCACTGCTTTGAACGAGGCAAAAAACTTTGGAGGCAATCAAATTGAATTTGAAGTCGTACCAACAGTTGAAAACTTCAATTACAAGTTGTTTTACAATGAGCTCTTCTCATTAATAGGAGGACCACGAGTTGAAGAAATTTGCATCGATACTGATGGGCTTGTGCAAAAGTTATCTGCATCAGTGGTAATGAAGAATAACAAACATTTAAATTTCTACCCTTTCAAAGATGATCCAACCCGCTTTATAAAATGTTTGAAAGAGGAATATATGTTTTCATCATCTCATAACAATATCATGGTCACCAAGGATGGTAAAAAAGTAATAAACCATACTGTTGAGTTCGATGACAATACGTCCTATCGTTTCAGAATAAAGGATTGTGACCGGGCAGATAGTGCTCAGTTCACACTTTCTGAAAAGGAAGCTTGTTTGGATTACTCTCTACCAAAAGGAATTACATTGTTGTACGTTTCGGATAGAGTCGTAGACGTGGGTCATGTTTTAACAAAGTCTTTTTTACTTAAGGAAGATCCCAAAGAAGATTTGCCTTACTTTAAAAAATTCTGGCAAAGCTGTGTGGATATGAATAAAGTACTTGTGTGTATGTTGAAACTAAGCCAGGGTGGTAAGGTTCGATACGACGAACTCATTCCAGTTAAAGTAGATGGTTCACCTATGTTTTTGGGTAAGAAAAATTTTTTTCACAAACAAAAATTTTAGGTAAGAATTCCTAAAAAGAAAAACTTCAATACCTTCAAGAAATATCTTCGTTCAAAATGTTTAGCTAGTTTAATCTAAGTTGGCATATTCTGTTGAATGATAGAGGTACTGAGTAGGAAAATACAGGTCGAAATTATCTCTCCTTCATGTATCGTTAAGTGATAAGCAAAATGTTGAAATAATTCTTATGAAACACTCTTCCCACACAAAAGAATCAGAAGACTTTCTTGACACACGTTTTTTTTAAACCAATTTAGTTGATGACTTCTTTATTTTGTGAAAATTCATGATCACTTCGAAGAAATGAATTAAAACACTTTTGTCTTCACTTAGAGTAGAGTAGAAATAGAGTTCTTTATTTGACCATTTTACATACCATAGTATATATATGGCAAGTCACGAACACAGAAATCCAAGTTGAATAAAAAAGGACGACAGAACTCTTTGTAACCTGCTTCGGCTATTCTTCTTATGGCCTTTTTCTGGCACATTTAAACACTAATGGAGTTACTTGAGTGACCCCAAGTCAGGATACCATTTGACATAACTGAGCGAAATAATCCATAATAGGTTCTTTTGAGCGTCATCAAGCTGGCTACATTATTTAATCGTCTCAGAACAGACACAAAAGAGTAGAAAGTTTGCTAGTCACATCTGTGATATGATCAGACCAGCTCAATCTGTCATCAATAAAGAATCCTAAAAAATGTATACGCCAAGTTGGATGAATATTTGGATTGGAAGATACACTTATATTTTGAGTTTTATTTTTATTCAGATTCCGCTCAACAGCAAACCAATTTATGCTAATGTTTCTCTATCTCGCGTTATTAGTTGCAAACTGGTTGAGTCTTTGCTAAAACATAATGAAGTATCATCTGCAAACAAGGTTCATCTTGCTGGTTTTATAAAACTGCATAGATCAAGTACAATAGTGGACCTAAAACGGAGCCCTGAGGAACGCCACGCTCCATTTCTTTGAGGTCTGATTTTGTGTTGTTCACTTCCAACATATAGGTATAGAGGGTTATCAAATATTCTTGTGACTAATTACTGTGTTGGTTTGTTATTGTATTTCAATTCCTAGTTGATATGTTTAGTTGCTACATTTTATTTTACTCACTAGTGGCTATTTGTAACTGTCACACGGAGTAAACAACAAGCTGTTTGGATGGAATTGGACCTATGTCGCTATTCTAGATCTCATTCAATTTGTCAATTTCTAAAATTTGGAAATTATCTAAGAGTCTGTTGCGATGCAAAAGTCTTGACAATTTCAAGACTTTCAGTGTCAAAATTAGGAAATCATAATGAATTGTTTATCAAAGTATCTCATAAATGAAATAAAACATGTTATCGAGTTATTTTATAATAATTTATTGAAAAAACTTTTTTTTTAGTGAAAGGTTTACCATTTGCGAATGAAATAAGTTACCCTTTGAAACAAGAATACCCCGAGAGAGTAGCAGACGAAAAGCAAAGAATATCAATACAGAACCTGGTTGACAAAATGACTTTCGATTTTGATTTAAAAATGGTGCCAGATGTATTATTCCAAAAAAGAAGAGCTTATGTCAAAGCAAAATTACTGGATGAGCCAATCGAAGAAGTAAATGATGTAGCCTTCGATAGAGACACACTGGATAGTCACTTGAGGGAGGTTGTTGAAGAAATCCACAGTACATTCAGTTTGTCGGGCGAGAAAAAAAGGAAAGCTCCTGCTCAAAAAGGGCCTTCCCAGAAAAGACGGAAGTGATGTTACCAGCATATCAAATAAAGTTGGTTTTAAATAACATATTTTTTTCAATTGTATAATAATAAAAATAGCGTGTCTTTATTTTCCAAAACAACCTTTACATAAAGGCGGCATTCAACATGTTGAATGAATGCATTACAAGATGTACACGAGTGGGATTAAATTATTATTATTATTTGCAAGTTCAACTGTCCATATCTCGGTTGATGAGCATCGTGAAAAGCATACAGGAGTAGCCATGAATTATTAAAATGTTACCGTTACGTTACAAAGCAAAGTTTGTTGATGAAACTCAATAGGAATATTTTCCACAATCTACTCAAAGGATAAATATAGTTTAAAAAATAAGCTTTTGAAGAATATCGAACTAGAAAGTTGAAAATATATTTTTTTCAATAAGCTTCAACTTTTTTTTTAATATAACAGCATACAGTTCAACGTAGTTAAGACACTATAAATATAAAATATGTTGTTTTGCTCACTAATCAGCAAAAATGCTGGTCTCGGGATTCACAAACACTCAATATGTCAAGTGAAAGATAAAAACAAACCACTACAAAGCTCATAGCAATAACGCATCAGACATGTGCCTCGAGGCTCAGATGTTCTTTTAAACTAGTGTGAGTTCGATTTATATCAAGGAGGTTATCTACAGCGCCATCTGCCCGCGAATAGATGAAGCAATAATGTCGATAATTCTGTTAAATCCAGATCCCTAGCATTCAAATGAGACAGAAGAGTTGCAAACAAACATACACACAGGTTAAGGTAATATAAAGCGTGTAATGTAATAATAAATAAATTAACAAACATTCGTGACGAGGCAGATAGTGGCACGCTTCAAGTTTGATTTGTATGAGTTATTAGTTGATACATTCATTAATTGACATACCTAAAATTTCGTGATCTGTTTCAAATCCTGTAATGAAAAATACGACTGTTTATTTACTATTCTAATCTTATTGTAGAACCATATCTTCTTTTGAATGACCATCTCCTTCAAAACTGTTCCCTTGGGGAAGGTTTTGGCTTTCTACTTATCCATCTTTATACAAAAAAATCTGGGAATCTTCAGCACCAATCGGGTTAATATTACAAGAAATACACAATAATAAACAGAAGATCTAAATGTGAGACTTTATTCATCATAGAAAAGCACTACAAAATTGTTGGTACTGCAGAATATTCAATGTTGTCATAAATACTGTAGTCAATCTTCGGTATAAAATGGTAAATGCCTATAACGTTAGATATATGCTGAGTGAAGAAAAAACAGACCTAACAGTATCTTACTTACGAAATAAATAAAATTGTGCTAAAAATAACAACTTATAAAAAATACCAAAAAGTTTACATTAGTTTCAAAGCTTGCAGGGCTGTTTCTAATCGTGACAGTTCTATACTGGTCTGGGACAACTTTACTTCATTTGTCTGTCTAACTTCTAAAGGTACTTTCAATTCGTAGTCCGGAGCATCGATGGCTTTCCTCAATTTCTCCTTCGTTGCTTGCAACAGCTCCAATTTCTTTTGAATTTTTGTTGTTTCTTTAACAGGATCTATCAAGCCCTTGAGAAGTAAATTAACTTCACATTTATCAGAAACGGTTAGGATAGTGCAACCGTCAGGAGCAGGTTCATTAACAGCGATCTTTGAACAGTAAGCCAAGGTTTCCAGCATTGGACTGTAATTGATTACAATGTCAGCAGTTGCTTCATCGCTGCACTGAATAAAAGCTAGAAAAATTTTATTTGAAATTAATAAATTCATATCGATATTTTCCTCACCTTCTGTTTTAGTTTTATTTGGAATATTATAGTCACTTCTCGCAGATCTTATACTCTTCACAAGCTTCTGGATGAACTCCACCTCATCCTCAATATCTTCGTTTCTCCATCTGCATTCTTTCAAATCTGGGTACGGTGCTACGCATATGCTTGGAAATTCCTTAACAGCTTCTTTCGATCTAGGCAACCTTTGGTACAGTTCCTCCGTGATGAAAGGCATAAAAGGAGACAGTAAACGCAAGCCAACTTCAAGGGCCCTGTAGAGTGTAATTTGAGCCGTTTTCTTAGCTTCTTCATCATCACCAGCAAAAACTGGTTTGAGACATTCCTAAACAACAAAAAAATTTTATAGGTTTTTGTGTGTGTCTGTGTGTGTACACAGTCTCCTAACGAACACGCATCTTAGGAGAGGTTTTAAGCCGAGACTTATAAGTCGCTTCCTAGATTTGGCAAGCTGTATCTTGCTGGTCCATTTGAATGCCCATAAGGGGGAATGTTCCTCCTGATATACAGGGTGTCGTCTTTGGGACACCCTCAACTTTGAAATTTCAATTACGGACCTATATTTTTGTAGCAATTTTTTGATTGGTAATAGCCATATAATTTCATAAAATTGAAGCTAAAAGTCAACTCAAACTGTGAATGATTTTATCTTTCCATGCTCGCATGAAGTTTCTGAGAGAAGATGCATATTCCAGAAGTCAATTATAGAAGTTCCTACAAATTCTTAGTTTATACGATACTAGAGAAATAAACTCAGGTATCTACTTTTGCTGGTATATTTTATTTTGATGAATTTAATGAATAACATTCAAAATTTCTCGGGAATCTCAGGAATTTCATACAAGCTTCAAATTAGGATAGATAAATCCATTTATAAGATGAAATCAACAGCTCAGATAGTTCAACGTACACATTTATACAGATAAAAATGAAAATCTCTTCATAATGATCATCGGCTTATTTTTTTAATCAATTTGGTTTTTTATATTATACTCACCAGATAAACATCACAAAGTTCATACAACCAGACATTGTATATGGCAGTTGTGACTAGAGAAAAATCATATACACTGAAGCCTCTGTTAGCTGCCTGTATAGCACTAGCTAATCGACTGAGCATCCAGAGATCCGTCAAATTTTCGTTGCCAATCAATCTGTTGTCGGCCGGAGCTTCGAAATCACTACTCAGATAAGTCAATGCAAATCTAGTGGCATTCCAAATTTTATTACAGAAAAATCTGTACCCCTGAACTCGAAGGATATCAAGGTTGATATCCCGTCCCGAACACATTGCGCAGAGGCCAAATCGAAGGGCATCAGTACCACACTCCGGAATGCCGTCAGGAAAGTCCTGCTTTTGACCTTCTACGGCCTTCTCTACTTCTTTGGGATCCAAATTGCTGTCCAGAAGCTGTTTATGAAGGTCTTCTAAAGTTATTCCATGAATCACATCCATCGGATCTATCACATTTCCGAGAGACTTGCTCATTTTCCTTCCGTGCGCGTCACGAACGATTGGATGCAAATAAACTTCTCTGCAAATAATGAAGAAAGTTGTGAAGAGTCGAACTTCCGATAGCCACTCTATAAATACTACCCTAACATGCAGTTAGTTAAATTTTATTTACTTGAAAGGTAGTTTTCCCAGCAATTTTTGTCCCAAAAAGACCATTCGAGCCACCCAGAAGAACAAGATGTCGTGACCAGTTTCAAGTAGAGAGGTTGGATAAAATACTTTGAGGTCATCAGTTTCATCTGGCCAGCCAAATATCGAAAACGGGAATAGTCCGGATGAAAACCAGGTATCTAACACATCCTCGTCTTGCTTGAGAATAAGTTCATCTCTACCCACACCAAATTTTTTCGCAGCCTTTTCGAGAGCTTCTTCATATGTTCTTCCAGATATCCAATATTCGCTATCTTCCGACTGAAAATTGAAAATCACTCAAATTTATTGTTTTGTATTATATGTACATTTTATAGTATACACGGCGGTTCATGTATTTTTGTCAGATCAGACACAAATACCCACAGTGAAGAATTCGCCGAACTTCATCAAAACAGTGTTGAGGGACATTTTGAATGCTCGTCAGTAGTAAATACATCACATCAAATAGTTTTATCATGTATATATCGTCCTCCCTCAGGGGACACTGAAATATTTTTTAACTTACTGAGTAAAATATTAGATGCATGTTTAGTGAAATTCTCTAAATTTAATATAATCTTATGCGGAGACTT